TGAGAGGTTAAAGAAGTGATTATTGAGTAGAAATAAGTGTATGAAAGTTAGGAATATTAAAGAATGTGAAATATGAAATGTTGAGAGGAAAATGAAGGGATTTTCGTGTTCAAAATGACATTTATGGGTTGTGTGCATCGGTACATCTTCAATGGGTATCGATGCACTCTCAAATAAATAAACATCAAATGCAATTAGTGCATCGATGCATAATGAGTGCATCGATGCACCCCCTTTAAGAAGAAAACATCGAATGTAACTGGTGTACCGATGCACATATAGTGCATCGATGCACGCGTTAAGGAATGCATCGATACACTGTAGAGTGCATCGATGCATACCTTCATTAAAAGATGAAAATAATATTTCTTTTAGCCCAAGAAGTGATAGTTTAAAATATATTAATTAGTATAATGATACGTATCAATGTATTACTATATAGGTTTAGAGCGTAATCATATTCCAGAACAATCGAAGAATTAGGATCGAACCAAAGCAAGGCTAAAGTGAGTGCATAGTGTATTGTATATGGTGATTCATGGAAATAAAACTTGTGTTAAGTTTATTTCCTATATTAAAATGCATGAATTAATGAATATAAGCATATAGTTTGTATAAGTGTAGACATCCGTTTTTGTCCTGGTCAAAAAATATTATTAAATATTATTATTATAAATATTAAATAAATATTTTACATTTTGTTGCAGGCTTTGGAGCCCAATTACAAGCCCAAATATTCCCCCAAGACCAATTACAAATCAAATACAGTCTCAGCAGATTACAACCCCATCTGTAACCCGGTTCAAGCACATGGTCGGATCTAGTAACCAAACCCAATCATGCCTATTTGATTCATAACCCATTAGGGTTTCCAGGCACCACCGCTTCTTGAGCCACACGATCTGGACCCATCCAATGGTCCAGATCAGTGGCCATTTAGGGTTTAACCCTAATTATCGAGCCAGCCGCCGAACGTTCCAGCTTCCAGCCACGCTAGCCGTCGCCGAACCATTCCAAAGCCATCCAGAAGCCATTATCGAGACATCGAGCCGAGACATCCCGGGCCACCACCATCGACAAGCATGCAAAATCAACACCCAACGTCAAAAACATGTTAACCTAATCCCAAAAATCACGGGAATCTAAACCTAATCCACCACCGATTTTCAACATTCAACAGACCCATATGCAATGATAAATGGAGGATTCGATGAAAAATGAGAAGGGGATTCGAACTAAAATAAAGAAAAAAAGAGATTCGGTGTAGGGGCTTTCGAATAAAAGAACGAAGAGAAAACACCGAACAAATAAGAAAAATAACAAGAGAAGAGAGAGTGCATACCTTGAGGAACTCCGGTGAAGGCTTAGGTCGCCGGAGATGAAGAAACCGAGAGGTTTCTTCTTAGATTTGCGACGGTCGGGCTACTTTTAGGCCAAAAGGACCTCAAATCCTTACTCTAGGCCACGAGAGGCTTCGAGTGATACCCACTTCTCTCCCCCGACGACGGCGTACGGCGGTGGCCGCTGGTCAGTGGCGGCCGGCACGGAGGAGGCTCGTCGGCCTTCGAGAGTTCTTTGGAACTCTCTCAAATTCTCTCTCACTCACGCTGAAGGAAAGAAAAATGAGAGTTGGGGTTAATTTTGAGGTGTTTAACAGCTCTTATAGTAGACCCCAAACGGCATCGTTTCGAAGGGGACCAGTGCAACATTTTCGTGCGTGGGTAAAATCCTTTAGGGGCCCTTATGTTTTTGTATTATGCTATTTTAGTCATCAATGAAATTTTTAATTTATGTTGTTTTGGTTTCCTATGTTGTTTATATTGCAATCTCTTCCATATTTGCTTTTAAACACTTGTATGTCTAAATTTTGACTGGGGTCATTATACTTACTTATTTTTACTTATTCAATACAAGTTTATACTAGTACATTTTAGTCCTTTTGCTTAGTTTATACTAGTACATTTTAGTCCTTTTTATTATATTTTATTTTCTTTAAATCCAGTCCTTGTATGTTTTCTTAATATATTAGGTTTAATATCTGTCCTATGCCATTAGTTTTGAATAATATTTATTTTAACCCCTCGTATATACTAATATATATAAAATTGTGGATTTTATGATTTGGTTCTTATGTTTGACTTAGTATTCATTTTATTTACTGTATTTAAAACTTTAGTGTTTGGGGTTTATTTCCCATTAGGTCCTTACCTGTCATGTAAATATATTTGCTTGGTATTTCATAATTCTTGAATATTTGTATATCGATTATCCTCATGTATTATGCTCATATTAATTAATCTTATTTTGGTCTTTTAAATATTATTGATCTGCTTTTATTTCTTATGAACTTGCATATTTAACATGTTGCATATTTGTCATTTTACATCATTTTATAAATATATTTGTAGAATGGGCGTAGAAAGCACCACATGATCAAAGTGATGTAATCCAATATGACATTCAAATCAAATACAAACTTGAAATAAATTAATTATATTTTGCTAATTATTAATTCATTTCATTTTAAGTACGAACAATACCATGAATATTTCTATATAACTATCTATTTTATTTTGTACAAATTATTGATTTTTATTTATATTCAATTCGTATATTTATTAATGAGAAAATATTCTTTTACTGATAAGAAGTAGTCGAATTAGCTTTCCCGATGAAGGATTGTTAATTTCGAGATTTCCTTTCGAGTTAAAGAATTTTATGTAATGAATTAATTCGAAGCAAATTAAACAATGTCCAGTAAACGAATCATATTTTAATTTCTTATTCGATTTATAAATTTCACTATTACGACAACATGTAAGCAACACAGTACCCATTTTGGGTGTTATGGGGTGTTAATCCTTCCCCACACGTAACCAACTCCCGAACCCGTTTTAATCAAATATTCGGTAAACGCATACCAGTTTTTGTCTTAAAAACGATTTTTCTTAAAATTGTTTTTAAAAAGACATTTTTAGGTATTCGACCTACCTAACCCAAAGGTCGATGGCGACTCCTATTTATTTTCATCCAAATTAATTCCAATTCAGCAAATTTTCTAAATTAAAGTCGTAACCGTTTTGAAAACAATAAATTATTGTTCTACCCTAAAAAAATGGTTATGACAGCTTAGCGACTCCGTTGGGGACCTTTTTTAGAGAGTTAAGCTGTAGGACACTTACACATTGTCGTTTTAGTAGAAATTATGAGTTCGAGTCTTTAGTTAACTTATGATCAGTTTATGGAAGTTTTTAATTGCTTCATTTTAATTGTCATACTAACATAAGAAGCAGAAAAGGATAATGAATTCAAAATAATTCTATCATGCATTAATTACATTTTTTCATGTGAATAAAATTAATCTTGAAAATCTATCCCCTGGGGATACCTCTTTTCAAGGACTTCTGTGTATGAGATGATGAACGGCTTTGTTTCATTTATCCATATATGTATATATATATATATATATATATATATATATATCCATTATTGTCCCCTTTTGATCCTATAATATTTTTTTCTTCTGATTCAACTCTAACCAAATATCACCCTCCACATTAGGGGACAAGGTGAAAGAAATCTGCTCACATGAGTTAAGACATCAATTTAGAGTAAATACCGAAAGGTGAAACAAATATCAAGTTCGAATGTGTGTAGACTATTGCAATATCTTCCATATTTGCTTTTAAACACTTGTATGTCTAAATTTTGACTGGGGTCATTATACTTACTTATTTTTACTTAAGCAATACAAGTTTATACTAGTACATTTTAGTCCTTTTGCTTAGTTATTGTATTGTTGGTTATGTTTCTATTATTGTTATTATATTTTATTTTCTTTAAATCCAGTCCTTGTATGTTTTCTTAATATATTAGGTTTAATATCTGTCCTAGGCCATTAGTTTTGAATAATATTTATTTTAACCCCTCGTATATACTAATATATATAAAATTGTGGATTTTATGCTTTGGTTCTTATGTTTGACTTAGTATTCATTTTATTTACTGTATTTAAAACTTTAGTGTTTGGGGTTTATTTCCCATTAGGTCCTTACCTGTCATGTAAATATATTTGCTTGGTATTTCATAATTCTTGAATATTTGTATATCGATCATCCTCATGTATTATGCTCATATTAATTAATCTTATTTTGGTCTTTTAAATATTATTGATCTGCTTTAATTTCTTATGAACTTACATATTTAACATGTTGCATATTTTTAGGTATAACATTAAATAAATTTATTATTATTTTATGTTATAAATATTTTATTTTTCATTTTACATCATATTTGTTCTATTATATTTCCTTAAATATTAATATTATTCGAATAGTTTCGAGAATGATATTTGTAGAATGGGCGTGGAAAGCACCACTTGATCGAAGTGATGTAATCCAATATGACATTCGAATCAAATACGAACTTGAAATAAATTAATTATATTTTGCTAATTATTAATTCATTTCATTTTAAGTATGAACAATACCATGAATGTTTCTAAATAACTATCTATTTTATTTTGTACAAATTATTGATTTTCATTTATATTCGATTCGTATATTTATTAATGAGGAAATATTCTTTTACTGATAAGAAGTAGTCGAATTAGCTTTCCCGATGGAGGATTGTTAATTTCGAGATTTCCTTTCGAGTTAAAGAATTTTCTGTAATGATTTAATTCGAAGCAAATTAAACAATGTCCAGTAAACTAATCATATTTTAATTTCTTATTCGATTTATAAATTTCACTATTACGACAACGTGTAAGCAACACAGTACCCATTTTGGGCGTTGTGGGGGTGCTAATCATTCCCCACACGTAACCGACTCCCGAACCCGTTTTAATCAAATCTTCGGTAAACGCATACCAACTTTTGTCTTAAAAATGATTTTTCTTAAAATTATTTTTAAAAATATATTTTTAGGTATTCGACCTACCTAATTCAAAGGTCGATGGCGAATCCTATCTATTTCCATCCAAATTAATTCCAATTCACCAAATTTTCTAAATTAAAGTCATAACCGTTTTGAAAACAATAAATTATTGTTCCACCCTAAAAAAATGGTTATGGCAATAAGTATATGGGTTATATGTTATGATATGTATGGATATATGTTAGAGTAATAAATCATACGAATATATATAAATATATATCTAATTCATGTGATTAGATAAGAAGATGATATAGGTTATATGATCATGAACTATGTAGATAATAAAGATTTAAGTAATAACAAGAGAAAGTGGTATACACATGGTGGTATAAATACCCAGAATTATATGGACATGTAATATAGGTTAGGTAATGAGGAATTATGGGTCTATATGACTAGGAGAAGATATAAGAACCATGGGTGAAATATATAATAAGTGTACACAAACTCTAGGGAATGTTATAAGTGGAAGGGAACTATATGACATATAGTATATTGTAAGGCAATGATTTATGTGAAATATGCTAACCAAGTATAAGTTATGTAAGTTTGATTCTATGTAACTAATATGATGGACTCATGTGATTAAATGGAGACTGAAATAAGTTGAGTAACATTGTGTATATATATGATAGAAAATGAGAATCAGATGTAACTAAGAAACACTGGCATAAGTTATTATACTAACATTTAATAGTAGTTATATAAGAATTATATAGGAAATCATAAGTGAATATAGGTTTAGATAATAAAATATGTGAGGTTGAATTAATTAAATATATGGAATTAGTATAAATTTTTTATGTTGTAAGAGATTATGCAAATCGGTAAGATAAGTTATATGGTATTGATATAAGGGTATATGTATAAAATTATATGAGATGAGTTGTGAAACTATGTGATATGCTATGAGAAATGACCCATGTGAATACATGAGCTTATTTGAATTAGTGATGTGAATGTATATGTGAATATAAGTAATATGAGCTACGTGCTTATGAGATATGAATATGGAACATGAGCTATGTGAAAATAAGTTAAGTAATTACATGGGCAAATGGAAATGTTATGTGAAAAGCTATGTGGCTATGTGAAGATGTGTAATGGTATAAAAGATAATGTCCATGTTATGTGATATGAGAGCTAGGGGTATAGTTGGCATGCCAAGAGTCGAGGGATAAACAATGGTCCTTCGGGACATAGTGGTTCTTCGGAACAATCAGTGGTCCTTCGGGACAAATATTCAGTGCCCCTTGAGGGAATTATACGAGCTGTGGTGATAGCATAGTGTACAACCTCTATGTACTCACATATATTTAGTTCTCACATGTGTACGTGAGCTAATAAAGAGATAATGTAAATAAACTTGATATGATGATATGTTTGTTTCCTTGTGAAATGTTATGTGTGATATATGATTGTACAAATGGTAATTATAAGATCATATGATAAAAGGAATCTATGATAGTGATAAAAATGAAGATGATGATATAGTTGCTTGATTGTATATGTTACATGATATAAGTGAGTACATGTTAAGATATATGATATGAACATGAGAGATTATATGAACAAGAGAATAAGAGATATGAATGATAATGACGTGTATGTATGTATGTATGTATGTATGTATGTATGTATGTATGTATGTATGTATGTATGTATGTATGTATGTATGTATGTATGTATGTATGTATGTATGTATGTATGTATGTATGTATGTATGTATGTATGTATGTATGTATGTATGTATGTATGTATGTGTATGTATGTATGTATGTATGTATGTATGTGTATGTATGTATGTGTATGTATGTATGTATGTATGTATGTATGTATGTATGTATGTATGTATGTATGTATGTATGTATGTATGTATGTATGTATGTATGTATGTATGTATGTATGTATATGTATGTATGTATGTATGTATGTATGTATGTATGTATGTATGTATGTATGTATGTATGTATGTATGTATGTATGTATGTATGTATGTATGTATGTATGTATGTATGTATGTATGTGTATGTATGTATGTGTATGTATGTATGTATGTATGTATGTATGTATGTATGTATGTATGTATGTATGTATGTATGTATGTATGTATGTATGTATGTATGTATGTATGTATGTATGTATGTATGTATGTATGTATGTATGTATGTATGTATGTATGTATGTATGTATGTATGTATGTATGTATGTATGTATATATGTAGTGTATTTGTTGCATGAATAAGGATATGAGTGGTATGATATAATAGTAGTAATTATTCATGCATGATTACAAGTTATAGTTTACATTATATTTTATTTGCCTCACTAAGTCATTGAATTAGCGTGTGAGTGTTTCACATGTAGGTTCTGAAAAGCGAGAGGAGAAGTGAAGAGGAGCAAGACAGGTCAGACTCTCATTTCCACAGATCAGATCAGAATTGTAGTTAAGTGTAGATATTTGGTTGTATATAGTGTGTTGGCATGTAACGAAATTGTGAATTATTAATGCTCTGATTGATTTTATTTATTTTGGTCCAACTTGTGTGAATTAACATCTTTTATTTAAATGAAAGTTTTAAATTTTCATGATTTTCTTTAAGAGTCAAAGTTTGAAAAGTTAATGTGACATCTCGGACTCGGATCCGGGTCGGATACGGGTTGGGGGTGTTACAGTTGCATTGTTGTGTTTGGTTTGTCTAGCAGGAATGTATATTTTACCAAATTGTCTTTGTTATATATTTGTTTTTTAAAACAAGTTGAATTCTAAATATTCAAATAAAAATATTTGTATAAAAGATCATAGAAAATATATTATTTGTATTATTTTTAATTTATATATTTTCTTTAAAAAAATTAAATTCATAAAATTTATATATATATATATATATATATTTACAAAATTTAGAAGATAAATTAGTTTAATGAAAGGGTTTAATTTTATTTTAACCCTTGAACTTCATATAAACTTATAATTTACCCTTCATAGAATTTTTTTATTTAATGGTTAGGATAAGGATATTTTTGAAAAAAAATTGTTTTAAGGGCAATTTAGTCCAAAGTCATGGGAAAATATTAATACCTAAGGGATTGGGAGAATGACTTCCTAGTAATAAGCCCCCAAAATACCAATGTTGAGAATGACTTATTACTCTTATTGGGAATCTTTGCAATCCAAACATGGATATCACATTCCGAAAAAAACTTTTTCCCCGATAATCTTCTTTTGCCCCCTTCCAAACGCACCCTTATATATTAAAATGTCCAAGAAAAAGATAGTCGAAATGATTTTATTTCATTGTTTAATTTTTTTTTTAAAAAATCGCAATGATTTAATGTTGCTTAACGAGTAGAGTTGGCTGTTAAAAGAAGACTTGAGAGATATTACTTTCTTTTAAGTCCAAGTTTATTTTTAATCTAACTTTTGATTGCTACTCTTCCAATTATTATATCCTCAAGTTTGATTCCGTATTGTGGACATAAGATGGTTCCTGAAAACTTTAATCCTGTCATTGACCTTTTGTCTATTACACAATAAAGAGTTCAACTCAAAAAAATTTAAACATGCGTTTCAAATCAAGACCTAGAGATAACAATTATTTTTTAACCATTCAGATTGTTTGACTCATATATGATAATTGATTTATTAAAACAGAACTTTCCAAGTTGAAACAGTCCAAAATTCTGAACCACACACATTCCTTCAGATATCGCTCTAATTTATCGTCGTTGTTGTTTCAAGAGTTTGCATCTTACAAAACTTCAAACAATTCAATTAACTTTATTTCTATGGCAATTTCAAGATTAATTTCATTTTCCATAAAGAGATTACAAGTTTTTCAATTATATTTGGCCACTCAATTTTTTTTTTCAAAATTAAATCTAACATTACATTTTGATTTCATTTTAGACATCTACCTTTAAAAAAATAAATAGTGATACTGACGTATCATCAGAAGGAAATGACACATCATCATTGAAAAATAAAAAATGTCACATTAATAATTCTGTTAATTTTCTAACGACGGGTGATTAAAATGAAACCGAAACTAACGTTAGGTATGCTTTTGAAGAAAAAATAGTTATATGACTAAAACAAGACCACAATAATAATTGAGTAACTAAATACATAGTTTATCCTAAATAATAATATGTTTATATGATTATAACTAAAATCAATTATTAAAGTACATAAACAGATGAACCAATAATCAATATATATTGAAACTTAACCAAAATAACATATTATTTTCATGTGATAAATTAAAATGTGAATGCTTATTGATCCAAGACTCCAGTCTTTACCAATTCTACCAAATCTCATTATCATTTATGCACTTATCTCTATACTTAAACAATATTAAAATAGTCAAATGATTCCTATTATATAAAATAATTTTAAAAATAATATAACCACTTCTTATTTCGGCTGGAGAAAAGAATAATCCCTTTTAAGATGTTGGTTCATTAAATTGAAGCAATAAATTTAGTTTAAATTTCCCCATTTGAGTAATTTGCAAGAAAATTAGAAATGATATTGAAAAATATATACCTATTTTATACCTTAAAAATAATACCTACCTCCCAAGTTAGAAGTTAGGATTTGTGGTGCCAATTGTGGCACTTTAAATGGATCAACAAATAAATATGATAATGAAATTTCAACTTATTTGGAAAAAAAATTAATGTCTTGGTTATATAAGTCGTTATTTCCTTTGATTTTATTATGAGTAAACTATAATATTTTTAAGAATGATAATATTTGATGTATCGTCAATAAACTATAATACATCACTTCATTAAAAATGAACAAAAAATTGTAAAAAAATATATTAAAATATTTGTACATCTATATTATTATTAATTTTTAATTGAGTAAATTAATGCTACATGATGATATTTTTATCTTTTAATAATTTTATAGTCTTTAAATAAAACAATTAAAAATCGATTCATCAAAAGATTAAGTTTATATTTAATATGGTTATATTAATAATTTTTTAATATTTAATTTATGAGATTGGTTGGAAAGATTGACTTCGTAATGAACCTATACAATACTTAATATGAATTAATTAATTCATAAATTTAAAACCAATAATTATAAAAAAAGTCTAATCATCTAATTTTTGCAAAAAATATATTAATTATAAACAAAATAGCCGAAATAATGTATGTGGAGTTTAGGGTTTAGGGACTTGTAGAAATTTATAAGTATATTTTTTTTTAGTTTTAACTTTTACCTTTGGTAGGTGAGAAGTTACAAAATATTTTTGGGTTATAAATACCAACCCCATTGCCATTTGGCATCCCAGACAAAACCCAACAAAGCAAAGCACCAAAATCCCACAGCACAAGGGCCAAGCTGCGCCTACAAATTCCCAGACAAAAATCAAACATGCCAACTGACAGCTCTTCTTCTAATGGCACCACCGTCTGTGTCACCGGTGCCGGTGGCTTCATCGCTTCTTGGATTGTCAAGCTTCTTCTTCAAAAAGGTTACACCGTCAAAGGCACTGTAAGGAATCCAGGTTGGTTGCATTCCATTCTCTCTCTTTTTAATGCAGTTTAAAGTCGTTAATATTTGATTATGTTATATGCGTTTTTATTTATCTTTTTGGACGTTGGCTTTTTTTGTTTTAGATGATCACAAGAATTCTCATTTGAGAGAGCTTGAAGGTGCAAATGAGAGGCTATCTCTTCACAAAGCTGATCTTCTTGATTACCAGTCTCTTAAGGAAACCATTAATGGTTGTGATGGAGTTTTCCATACTGCTTCACCTGTGACTGATGATCCTGTAAGTTGGTTTTTCCTTTCATCTCTCTCTCTCTCTTTTTTTTGGGTTGAATGTTGAAATTCGTGTTTGGTTGCAGAGGAAGTTTGGTGAGAAAAATATAAAGATGAACCAACTTTACTTCCTTTTATAAAAAAAAAAAATTTGAAAGACGCTGCTCAACTAAGACAACGTTGAAAATGTACAATGATATTGCTTTCTTAACCAACTATTTTCGCCAACTTTATCCGCGAACGCGGTGGGCCACCATCCTCATAGCTAAAATTACTTAGATTCTTCAACGGAGAATTCCATTTACTTAAATATGTTTCTGATTATTTTCCTCAGATCCTTTTGTTCATAAATTTCCCGTCAGATTGTTTAAAGAGAGTTTTGAAATCTGAATAATGTTTTCCAGGAAAGAATAATTAATTGACTAGTATTAACACCTAAGGATTTTGAAGATCGGTAGTTGAGGTATCTATCTTTTTCGTATTAATTGAAAGGAACAAATGGTGGAGCCGGCCGTGATCGGCACAAAGAATGTGATAATGGCAGCGGCGGAGGCCAAAGTTCGACGTGTGGTGTTCACGTCGTCAATTGGAGCAGTGCACATGGACCCCAACAGGGGCCCTGATGTAGTTGTGGATGAGTCTTGCTGGAGTGATCTCGAGTTCTGCAAAAATACTAAGGTGATTTTTCTTTCCTACCAAACACATTTACAATTTATTTTGTTTCTATTTTTCCATCCAATCAAACAAAATCAAGGCACATGTTAAATTCTCCCCATATATAACAACCTGATTAATGGTCCATTTGGATTATTGATACTCTCGATTTCAAAAAGGAAAACAACATTGAAAATTGGGTTATTTTTGCTAATCTAATTTGGGATTGATTTGGATTACTTTTTTTGGGAGATTTTTTTTATAATTGGCATTCCAGAGGAGTTAAACATTTCGGATTAGTTCATTAAAAGATTTAGGTTCAATGGTCATAAAATGTAGAAAAGGAAATTTTGGAGATGAACTAAATGATTGGTTCATGCAATTGCAGAATTGGTATTGTTATGGGAAGGCAGTGGCGGAAAAGGCAGCCTGGGAAACAGCCAAGGAAAAAGGGGTGGACATTGTGGTGGTAATCCCAGTTTTGGTGCTGGGTCCATTGCTGCAATCAACTGTGAATGCCAGCACCGTTCACATCCTCAAGTACTTAACCGGCTCCGCAAAGACCTATGTCAATTCGGTCCAAGCCTATGTTCACGTCAGAGATGTTGCGTTAGCACACATTCTTGTCTTTGAGAATGCCTCTGCCTCCGGCCGATACCTGTGCGCCGAGAGCGTCCTCCACCGTGGAGAGGTGGTGGAGACTCTAGCCAAGTTCTTCCCCGAGTATCCCATCCCTACCAAGTATGTCTTTGACTGTTAATTACTCACCCAAATTATTCCTTTTTTCTTCATATAAACTTTGACAAAATTTTGGTTGTTAAGAAACTTTATTTAAAAAAGGAGTTTAAATTTAGGAAGTGGGGCAACCCCTCTCTGATGTTTGAGAATCGGCAAATTGGGACACAATCAAGAGTTGTTTTTCTAATATAAAGAGGGTCATATTTTAAAATCCAATGAATTATGTCAAAGATTATGTTCATAAAGCAGTGAAATTATAAGGCTCACCTTTAGATGTTTTAGTTTAACTAATGTTTTAGTCAGAGATGTTTTAGTTGTTAATTTCCTGTCAGTTTGTGCCACTTTATATCTAGAATTATGGATATTGTCTATTTCCACATTCTCCAACCTACTGAACTACTCCTAGGTGTTTTATTTGTACTTGCCTTCAACAAATCCGCATAGCAGAATTTGAATGCTATATGGGTAGGAGGATTATTATTATTTGATACATTAATTTTTACAAGTGATCTTATAATATATCTTATTTAAATATTAGTTGTGATAAGTTTTGGAAATTAGATAGCATATATTTTAATCATTGTTTAATTGGCTAATTGAAAAATGTCAAATCTTACCTAACATTGGAGAATTGAAGAAAAAACACGAGCTTAACCCTAGCCCGCGCTTCAAAGAGAGCTTTATCCACAACTTGTTGACTGGTAAACTTGGATAGTGACAGTAAGAAATTCATGCCTCCTTCAAAAGATTAATCATATTCCAGGAAAATTGGAAGGGATTCAGATTTTAAATTAAAAGGTTGAAGATTATGTTATTCAAACATATGAATGAAAACAGTCGAAATACGAATATGTGTCTAATATATATCTATTGAGAAAAATAAAGAGTTGGATCAGTAGATATATGCATGGATTAGGTAAACCATGATTCATTCTCAAGTGCAAGAGGGTGGGAGTGGTGTGGGGTAATCGGTGCACGAGCTTTGTCAAAATGACAAATCTTGCCTAATTCTCCTAGAAAAAGTGAATGGTGTTTTTTTTATTAAAAAAAAATAGGTAAATGGAAATGGTAGTTGAAAAGGATCTTCACCAACTGCAAAATGTCCTTGTCAGCTTATCACAAGAAAATGAATATTTTATTGTACCCACTACCTACTCAACTTCAATCATGGACAGGGAGGTTTCCCATTCAAAGGAAATTGATTTATTTATTCTCATTCTTTTGAATATTCAATATCTTCTCCTGCAGGTGGGAATCCAGGGGACCTTTCAATTTTGGTTAAATGAAGAAAAAAAGTTGCAATTTTTGTGTCCCTTACCAATTAATTATTCGCAGATGCTCAGATGAGAGTAATCCGAGGAAAAAGCCGTACAAATTCTCGAACCAGAAGCTGAGGGAGTCGGGACTGGAGTTCACCTCGGTGAAGCAATGCTTATACGAAACGGTGAAGAGCTTGCAAGAGAAAGGACACGTGACAATACCACCTCAATCCCAGGAAGATTCAGTGCTTCGTATCCAATCTTGAAAGGTTTTGATCACACAATGAGTACTTGTGCTTAAGCTAGAGACGTGCAATTTGCATTACTGGATGTATGGACCAACTGTCCTTTCTACCTATTTTTATGGGGTGCTTATTATATCATTGCTGCTTCTAAATCCTCTCTTCATCGATAAACCACATTTGATTTGGGCACGCAATGTAAAGGTTATAATAATAACAATAATATTCCTACATATTATGCTTTCCAATCTTACCCTGTGGACTGGATACGATTGTTCGGCTTAAATAAAAAAAATTATATATTCTTGTGTCTAAATCAATAATCAAGTTGATCAGATGATTATCATTTTTATTTAGTTAATTTGATCTATTGACTCATAGATTCAACAACAATTAAAAAATAAATTCAAAAAATAATTAGAAAAATATAAAAGAGAGCATAGCTCAATTCAACCCAAGGATTTTGGTAAAAATGCCCAGGCCCAAGAGCAAAAAAAAAAAAAAACTCAGTTGACAGTCTCGGGGCACAGATCAGCCCACAGACCGTGATACAAACACCACCTCGTCAAAGGTCAAACAAATGATTCTTGCATTGCTAGTTTCTTACCTTAAAAAATTGTAAATTTCTTCTCGGTGATCAGCACAGTCCTAACAGCGTCTTAACATTGTGCTAAGTAGTTATCCTTTTCTAGGTCAATTGCACCACAATTTAATGGTGTTAAAACTACGGGTGTGCAAAATAGTCTGATCCGTTGTTTGATTTGAAAATTTGAAAATCTGATTTTTATTTTTAGATATTTGAAAAAAAATCAGATAATCGGATCAGATACATATTGATTAAATTTTAATTTCGAATTATCAATAAAAATAAGCTTTTAATATATATATATATATAACCTCTAATCTCAATAAATAATTAACCCACTAGCCTAACAGGCGAACCCTAACATAACTAAAATACCTTAACCTTAAATTTGAATTTCTCCAAAATCTGAAAGTTTTGCAGACCAACCTCACGTACGACAGGAAATAGGAAGATGGATACTCATCTCTCTATTACGGTTCATAAATAATTAATAATAATTAAAAAGAAAAAGAAGAAAGAGATGTTGATTTTGTATGTAGCAGATTTTGATTAAATAAGAAAAAAATTAAAATTTATTGTTTACTCATTGTTTACAGATTTACAGTATTTTATTTCTCCAATGGTATTAAGTAACAACAAAGTATTTTAAAAGTAAAATAAAAAATAAATGGCAGTGGGGCATCCAATAGCATAATTTATGTTAAATAAACAGTATGCAATTGGAAAACAAGAACATATCAATATATTTATTTTTTGATAAATTAATTTTAATGTGCGGATTCGGATATTCGATCCGAAAACTTAAGATATCCCAATTAAATAAATATTTAAAATGAATAAAAATTTAAGTCATCTAGGGATAGTCGACCAACACACAACTCATTAACACTTGATTTTGATACAAAATTTCTTTTTATCTTATTTCTCATATTTTTATTTTGTTCAATTTGATCTTACATGTTTTCTTTAATTCTCTTTTGATCTTACATAATTTTATTTTAATCTAAATTATCAATAATTAGTAACAACTTTTAAAAATAAAAACTCGAATTCGTACAAAATTGTTATCGGTTATTAACAATTTTATGGGTATTAAAAAATTCAATGTTATCAAAACCGGACAGGACCAGTAGGTTCGACCGGTTGAACCGGGAACCAATTGCCTGTCTGGTCCAGTCAGCCTCCAAAACCAATTTTGCAATGAACCGATTGGAAACCGGTAAAACCGGATTTTTTTTTAAATTAAATCAAACGACGTCATTTGTTATGATTTTTTCAGCCCCAAATTTATTTTAATTATATAATTATCATGAAAAAAATGAAGGTTAATCTTTGCTTGTTTATTTTAGTTATATACTTATATTTATTATTTAATATGTTTTACACTTTTACTTTTAATTGTTAAGTATTTTTTGGGAATTTAAATTTAACTTTGTATTTATTTATCATATTGCTAGGTGAGTGATGTTGTGGACTTTCAAGTTCAAAGTGATGTTATGGAGTTTCAAGTTCAAAGTGGTGATGGCGGTGATAGTTCAACTAATGAAAAAGTTTTTCCTAATATTTTGAAATTTGAGGGAATCAATTTCAATGAATATTATGATGATTGATACTTGTATCAATTATGTACTTTTTTTATTATTTAGTTGTTGATGAATTTCATTAGGTATTGACCTTAAATATTATGTTGTAGTTGATTTAAATCATTTTGTTTCACTTGATATTATTGTATTTAACTTATATATGTTATGACTTTGATATTTTTATACATTTTAATATTGTAAACTTAAAAAGAGTATTATATATATATATATATATATATATTAATATTGCTTTGAATATTATGTAAAATTTTAAAAAATATTATTTTTTATAAACCGATTCAACCGCGGTTTAACCCCATTGAACCAGTATCTTCATCGGTTTAAGGTCCAGTCCGATTTTAAAAATATTGAAAAAATTAATTAATTTATTAAATATTTATAATTTAAAATAAATCACTTTTTACACAGTTTTCTTGTTGAAATATTATAGGTCCATTGAAATGATCAAACGCGAAATATACACTCTTTTCAAACTAGGAAAAGTCGATTGCTTTTTGGGTGAGAAACAAGTTCAATGGTTCACGGTTGAGTCTTTTGGTGTACGTTCTTTTTCTTCTTAAGTAGTAGAAGAAAGGTTCTTTTTAGTAAATTACACGAGTAATACTAAATTATTATTATTTATTTTGATCATGAAATTGAATGAATTTAAAGTACACGAGTAATACTAAATTACTATTATTTATTTTGATCATGAAATTGAATGAGTTTAAAGTGTACGCTGCATACCGAAATACATTATTAATGTGATACACCGATGTACACTACTAGTTAAATTATTCTTATTAAATAAATATTTAAAAATATAATGATGTATCCACAATTAATCATTTATTATTATTTAATTTAAATTTTAATAAGAATATAATTAATTTATAGTTTTTTTATTAAAAGTTATAATTATTTTAGAATTTTTTATTTGTTTAGGATTGGAACACTTAATTTATATAAGTTTGCATATTCATCCCAATAACAACCATCAAACTAATCGTCGACGATCCAATTCATCGCTAAAAGATTGTGTTACTTACAGGTGGTTGTGTAATGTCATCCTCACTAGGCTCTTCCCAAGATAATGTAAATCTTTTCATAGCAGCATATTAGTTTATTCAGTCTCTTAAGGAATTATTGATAATTTTCGATTATATGTAATTGGAGCTCATGTTTTAAACAATGTTACATACTTATAGATTCATCTTATACAAAGACACAGTCTTCAGCTCCTTTCATTGGTACTAGTTTCGGAAGTGATTTTGTGCATTCACCAGCAATGATGGCAGAACCCAGCGGTTAAGGTAATTTGAGTTATTGTTTACATATGAAGAATTAATCGAGACTAAGAAATTTTTTAGACCGTAATCTTTCGGGTGAAGATGAATTTGGAGTTGTTTATAAAGGTTGCTTACAAGACGGAAGAGGGGTCGTTGTAAAGCAGCTAAAAATCAGTGGGGATTGGGTGAATGAGAATTTAAAGTTGAGGCTGAACATGATCTCCCGGCGATGAAGAAGATCGTCGACGGTTGATTCTGATAATTGTTGTTGGGATGAATATGCAAATTTATATAAATTAAGTGTTCCAGTCATAAACAAATAAAATTTTCAAAATAATTATATTTTTTTAATAAAAAATGCAATTTAATTATATTCATATTAAAATTTAAACTAAATAATAATAAAAGATTAATTATGGATAAATCATTATATATATTTTTATATTTATGTAATAAAGACAGTTTAATTAGTAGTGTGTATCAGTATATTACATTAGTAATGTGTTTTGGTGTACGATGTGCATTCTAGAATTTTTCCATGAAATTAGTTTCTTAATGAAATCATTATTATCGTAAACTTTTATTTTTTTTAAAAAATTTAATAGTTTTTGAATTATAATTTTTTTATTTTTTAATATCACGTTTGCTTTTACCATAAATAGAATAAATATTATTTTTAATAATTTTATTTAATTAATCAGATAATGATATATTTCATTATCTAGTTGATTAAATAAAATAAAAATTATTTTATTTGATGTTAGAAAGAAGAGAAGAATTGAAACTTGAATCCCTGTATAATGTTGAGCCACTAAGTTAGACAATAAGCTTATTATAATTTTATCAAAATTTACATTCAAATTTGTTTTGTTAAAATCAAGAAAAGAAGTTGGCATTACAAGTAGCGGGCATTTTCAATCTATTGCTGATAATGAAATAAAAATGATATATATATATATATATATGTATCCGTATTACTAATAGATTTTTAATGGTCAATAATTAAAATAAAAAAAATACTTTTTAATAATACAGTTTACTTTTTCTTTGCCTATAGGAGTCAGAGGTTAGGTGATTGACTCTTGAAATCCTTTTTATTTATTTATTTTTGTCTCCACCGTCCTCTATTAAGTACAAACAGTTAACAACATGTGTTTGTCAACTAAACTACCTTATGCGTGTTAATACAAATTTTATTTTTTATTATGTTAATATTAGATAATAATTTAACTGATCAAATTGAAAATTGAAAGTTAGATCGATTTAATTGTCGGTCTAATTTTTATATCATGTACAAAATGATCTAAAACAATATTTTTAATTTATCTAGAATAATTCAAAAATAATATTTGAGTTATTCCTTTATGATATAAAAATAATGGATTGTTTAGATATAAAATTATTGAAGATAAGATTTATATATATATGTATTATTATTATCGTTCAGCTTCTGCTCCTATTTATACAAAACACATATTATATACGTTTTTTTCTTTTCACACAAAACTCCTATATTTTCTCATATTTTATTACTCTATTTTTTTTATTTTGGCTCAAAATAAACATAAACGACAAGCTATATAATATAAAAGAATATTGATTTAAAAATAATTTAAATTTTTTTATTTAAAAATAATTTAAAATAATTTTTAATTAAATAATATTTTTAAAAATTTTAATGATTATAAGATAATATATATTAAAATAATTAATTACTTTAAGTATACAAAAAGTACTTTATAAGTACAACTGCTAAAATTTAAAGCAGGTAAAGAGATCAATATTTAGGGTAAACTATACACACTAATATTTGAGTATGTTTTTATTTTTCCTCTTGAAGTTTCAAAAGAAAAAAATGTTAACTAATATTATCAATTTGTAACAAAATGATCGCTTCACCGTCATTTCTATTAAATTGATGATGTGACAACATTAATAAAAAGACTAATATATAGTTTTACTCTTAAACTACTGTTGAAACATCAAATAAGTTATTAAACACAGATTTTATATCGAATTTACTCTAAAAGCTTTCTAATTTTAAGTTTTTCCCAAACACCCAACCACCCAAAAGCAATAATTTAGACATTGAAAAATTGCAGAACTATTGTAGGCAAAACCCTTTTATGTTTTTCATCTTTAGGAGACAACATTGGTATATAGAAAGAAGTTGGAATCATTTTGCCCAAGGGTTGCAGATCAGCTCTACATTTAAAGACTTTTAATTTTTCAATTTGATGGAAAAGGAAACTTGATATTCTCTATGTGATGCAGTTTCCAAATCCACTGCTAGTTGTCTTTTGACGATTTACTGGATTGAAAAGATTCTAATAGATTAAATATTTTGAATTCTTCAACAACAAATTCTCTAAGCGAATACCCATTTCAATCATTGGGTTACAGTTATCGTTGAAGTGTTTGCTGTTCTTTCGAAGTAACTAGCAGTAATGTCTGTCCCATGTTTGCTAGTTATTGTGTTTATATTCATCTTGGGTTTACAGAAGCGGTTCAAACCTGGCGTCACGAGAAACTGAAAGAAGCCGAAAAGTTGGTGATGGAGGAAAGAGATATTTTTAGATAATTAAATATTTTATTACCCAAATGAACAGTATTCTACTACAAACAATCATCAATGGAAAATCAACCTAAAATCATCAATAACCTATTCACAAAACAGAGTAGGTTATTCAATACTTCAATTCTTACAAAGAGTAATATTAACACTATCAAGCCTATTAATATTCCGACCTCTTATGTAACACCCTCAACCCGTACTCGACCCGGATACGAGTCCGAGGTGTCACATTGACTTTTCAAACTTTGACTATTGACGAAAAATCAAGGAAATTTAAAATTTTCATTAAAATAACATTGTTACTTTACACAAGTTAACCAAAACAAGACAAAACTTATCAGAACATTTGTAACAGACACTTTTCTTACATGCCAACCATATACACGACAAAAGATATACTTTATCCGTTACTTCTGATCTGATCTGATCCTCTAGCAGTGCTGCTGTTCTTGCAACCCTATTTCCACTCTTCCTGATTCTTGATACCTACGTGTAAATCACTTATCTCTTTCAATTGATTTTTAATTTGAAAACTAATGCGATTTAAAAACCTCTCGTTTCGAAAATTTTGAAATTCTCTTTACGTTAAAAACATATTGTTCAAAGAGTCGCCATCAATCTTTGATTAGGGTGTGATTGGGCACCCAGAAATGTTTTGTTATTTTAAATAAAAATTAATTTTAATTAAAACAACAAATTAAGGTCTGCATTACCAAAATCCAAGTTCGGGAGTCGGTTACGTGCGGGGAAGGATTAGCGCCCCCACAACGCCCTAAAACGGTACCTAATAGATTAATTAATGTCTTTGCATTGAACTTTTCAAATTCGAACTTAATTTGATTTTTGATCCCATAAAACAAAGATGTAAATTTAAAAACATTCAAAAGCACTCAAATAAATTAAATTAAAATTACCAAGTCGTTTTAGAAAGTTAAAGAATGTTCGATTATTTATAAATATCGAGATCAGATCTTAAAAGCTATAACAACCTTTTCTCGATAAATTTAAATAAACGAACATTTCCTTTTCTTTCGTTCCCAAATTTTAGGTGACGAATCAATTTTTTTGGTTTCACTTTCGAGATACACTTTTATTTTAAAATCATTAAAAGCATACCTCAAATCAGTTATGACTGCCCACTTAAAATAATTTTAAATTAAAAGTATATTACCCTTAATCCAATTATGTAATATGTCGAGTTATGCAAATGAGGCTATCATGCAAATTATGCAAAAATGATGTCATGTAAAAATTAATTAAACATGTGATTAAAATAAATGAGTAAATAAATCTAAAGCTAAAATTACTATTAAACAAAGACCACAAAAAAACCTATCAATGCATTACATATACCAAGATCAACATAAAACTGAGACCACCTGTAAAACTAAAATGAAAACCGAGAAAATGTTATGCCAAATATGCAACATCACATAAACTTAAAATAACATACCCACATGACTAAAATGTGACATGCAAAAACCTTAAAGTCTAATATCTAAACAACATAAATTAAACAAATCAATATTTAGGACGAAAATTAAATGAACATAAAATAAATAGACATAATTAGATACATGCAAACTTCTACCTAGGGACTAAAATGTAACATGCAAAAATTAACAGTTTAATGTCTAAAACAGCAAAGATTAAATACAAGAATACTTAGGGCTAAAATTAGATGCGGGTAAAATAAAGAGACAAAACTATAAACATGCAAATGTTGATTTATGGACTAAAACGAACATGCAACAATTCAGAAGTTAAATGTCTAAAATAACAAAAACTAAATAACATAATATTTGGGACTGAAAATTAAAACGCATAAAATAAAGATGCAAAATTGGAAACATGAAAACATTCAGTTTGGGGACCAAAATGAAAATAAACACAAAAACTATAGGTATTAAACGACAGTTTTACTCTAAGGACTCGATGGCTAAAAGCTAATTAACCCTAAATTTTTAATATATATCCAACCTAAATAACAAACCTAACCTAACTCTAAACTAAACAACCCAACCGTTCATCTCATCTTCTCTACCCTTCCTCTATATTCTCTTTTTCATCTCCCCCATTCACAAGTCACGACCGAGACTCCAAATCCCAAATCCGGCCACCATGCACAACGCCTCGATGACTCAACGTAAAGGTAAACGATCTTCACCCTACCTCCCTTTATTCTCACTCTATTTTGAAATCACGATCTAAAAGCTAAACCTCATACCCATGTGCCAGGTCTCTCGGACAAACCTCAACGCTCGAACACCAACCCCTGTTACGCACGACTCGGGTAAACAATCTTCTCCTGATTCTATTTCATATTTACCTTGGTTTGAAAACAATACCAGTACACACAAAGAAAACGGGAAAATGGAAACAAACCAAAAGAGAGTACCTCAAACCCAAAAAGTGTTTTCTATTGCTTTCCCGATTTTTGAATACAATGATAGATTGCACTTTATTTTCTCTTTTACATTGATTTTCTGCTGTAAATTCGAAGGAAAAGACTGAGACCACCCTTTTTTTTACTGTTATCGTCCCCTGTTTGAGAGCCCTCTTCGAATGGTTATTGGGAAACCTTCTCGTTAATTCCTGGTTGTCGACCTGAGAGACTCCCCTTGTTCTGTGTTTTTTCTCTCGTTTCATTCTCTCTTTTTTTGTGCTCGGGTTCCCCCCTGTATTTTGAATGGTTCCCCCTGTTTACAATGCTTTTCCCTATTTTAATTTCCAGCGGTTAATTCCCCCTCAAAACTGACTCTTTACAGTTTTTTTTGAGTGCTCAATATCATTCCCACGATCAAACACTACTTTCCCCTTATTTTCGCTTGCTAACTGTTCTTGTTGTGCAGGACTTCACGTGGACTGAAGTCTCCAATCAACACTGTTGTTTTGGGCTGATTTGGGCTCCTACTGGTCCAAATTTGTATCGTTTGCTGGATACAAAGCCTCCGATAAAGCCCTCGGATGAAATCGAGCATCTACAGCTGCCCCTCTTTGCTCATTGTCATATAACGAGAATAAAGCAAAGATCAAAAGATGATCGAGTTTGTCCGGTCCTGAGAACTTCAAAAGATTAAAGATCTCTATTGTTACTTCGGGATAAATGAAACTTGAAAAATCTTCAAATGGCGGGTCCGCTCCCTATTCTTTCAAGGAGTATAAGACTCGAACAATCTTTGGAAAATGTGTCTGCTCCCTATTCATTCAGGGAGTATAAGACTCGAATAATCTTCAATAAACGGGTCCGCTACCTAGTCATCCAGGGAGTATAGAACTCGAACAATCTTCATAAAACGGATCCGCTCTCTATTCCTTCAGAGAGTATAGAACTCGAAGAATCTTCATAAAACGGGTCCGCTCTCTATTCCTTCAGAGAGTATAGAACTCGAACAATCTTCATAAAATGAGTCCGCTCTCTATTCCTTTAGAGAGTATAGAACTCGATCTTCATAAAATGAGTTTGCTTCACTACTCTTCCGTGAAGGCTTATGATGATTGCTTCACTGCTCTTTCGTGAAGGCTTAAGATTGACTTGTTTCAAAGGTCAACCTGAAAATCAAACATTACCAATCATTAATGTATGTTTAAAAAATATTATACTCAAAAATTTAGAATTTGAGAACATTTCTGAAAATCCATCTCCATCGCAAAAACTTATCTAGAAACCATTGGATACGTGAATCTGCTTTGGCTTAGTTTTCATATAAACATCATTCTTTTCAAAATCTCCAAACCAGTTATGTTCATCTCGATGCTTTAATATCTTCAACTATCCATGGAAAACCTGTAACTGCTTAAGTCATCATGCAATTATGAATGTTATGATCCTAATCATGCCTAAAATGTATGCAATTATGCAATTCAGTGTGTTTTCTTATTCGAAGGAACTCTATCTCCTTTTGATCTTGATAGAACTCGATTTCATCTTGGGTACAGAACATTTGTCCAATTCACCCCAGTTAACAATCTCAATTCCGTATCTCTCGGCTTAACAGAACCTTGACTCTTTCCTTTCTTGAAACCCGCCAGTACCCATGACCAACTTCTTGACCAATGACAATCTTTTTGGGTCTTCTTATCATGGCTGAGATTTTCTATGAATTCCAAGGTTTTAGCTTCCCGTAGCCACACAAGCTTACATGTTTAATCCATTGTCAACTTCAGAATACCTGCATTTTCCAAAAATTTTTGCACAATAATACAAAATGATCTCATGTACTTCAAGTTAAGCTATATGTTTTAACTTTTCAAAATAAGATGCTTACAAAAGGGAAACGAACAAGGAAAGACATCTCTTTATTTATATAAATACAGAGAATTTTAGGCAACTAAATGACAAACTTTTAACTGGAAAAAGTAAAAGAACAAAAGAGTAGGCGTCTTCAAATATCAATAATGCAAATGCTTTTGAACTGACACGCCGTTAGAATGTCTCGAGTGTAGCTTATGTCCAAAATATCTCTAAAATTGTGATGCTTAAGAGTATGAAGCTACTTCTAAACTCCCAAATCTCTATCATTGGATGCCCTAAACCAGTATTGAATCTCATGTGCATTCAATTTCTCTTGGTTATTTCAATCGAGACTCATTAATCTTTGGTCTCATCCCTGATCACCAACTGTCATTGTTACTATCCATATCAGGAGCTCTTTCCACTTCCAAAATTGATTCAGAACCTCCACCATGCACGAATTCTGAATTTAAACAAAACTCAAGTCGCCCTTCGCGAGTTTTCAACTTGAGACCTCCTTTGGTTTCAAGACGCCCTTTTCGGGTTTTCATCTTGAACCCTCCTTTTATTTCTTTTTCTTTTCCTTTTTTCTTCTTTCTTCTTTTTTCATTTTTCATTTTTTTATTTTTCATTTATTTTTCATTTTTCTTCAAGCGAAATATCTCTTAACAGCGTCAGAATTCACTGGATAGGGTAATTCTGATCCATCCATTTTAGTTAAGACTAGAGCTCCCCCAGAAAATGCTTTCTTGACAACATAAGGTCCTTCCCAATTGGGCATCCATTTTCCTCTAAAATCCTTCTGAACAAGCAAAATCCTTTTAAGCATCAAATCTCCCTCATGGAATTCTTGAAGGCGAACTTTCTTACCATGTGCCCGTATCATACGTTTTTGGTACATCTGACCATGACAAATAGCTTTCAATCTCTTTTCTTCAATTAAATTCAATTGGTTGTATCTAGCATGTACCCATTCTGCCTCATTAAGCTTTACCTCTGACAAAATCCGAAGTGAGGGAATTTCCACCTCAATAGGTAAGACAACTTCCATCCCATAAACCAAAGAAAACGGAGTTGCCCCAGTTGAAGTCCGTACTGAAGTTCGATAAGAAAACAGAGCAAAGGGCAACTTCTCATGCCAATCCTTATAGGTCTCAGTCATTTTCTCTATGAGCCTTTTAATGTTTTTATTAGCCGCCTCTACTGCCCCATTCATATTTGGGCGATAAGTGGTGGAATTAAGATGTTTTATTTTGAACTGCTTACAGACCGAGACCATCATCTTATTGTTTAAATTCAACGCATTATCGGAGATAATCCTCTCTGGTAAACCATATCTACAAATGATCTCCTTCTTTAAGAATTTGCATATTGTAGACTGGTAACATTTGCGTAAGAAGCTACTTCTACCCACTTGGTGAAGTAATCTATGGCTACCAGAATGAAGCGATGACCATTTGAAGCTTTGGGCGAAATTTGTCCAATAACATCCATGCCCCCACAATGAGAATGGCCACGGCGCTGTCATTACATGCAATGGATGAGGAGGAGTATGTATCTTATCTCCATAAATCTGACATTTGTGACATTTTCGGGCATAATTAATACAGTCTGTTTCCATAGTTGACCAATAATACCCAAATTTCATAATCTGCCTAGCCATAGCATGCCCATTAGCATGAGTACCACATATTCCCTCATGCACTTCTTCAAGAATCAATTTGGCTTCTTTCGCGTCCACACACCTTAATAAGACCTGATCCATACTTTTATTATATAGAGTCTCACCATCAAGCACATACCCTGATGCCATTCTTCTAATGGTTCTCTTATCATTCTCAGTCGTATGTTCTGGATAACTCTGATACCTTATATATTGCAAGATATCATAATACCAAGGGTTTCCATTTTCTTCTTCTTCAATATTAAAACAATGGGCTGGATACTCATAAGCCTTCATTTCAATGGGCATCATATTTGAATGCTCGTTCATCTTAAACGATGCTGCCAGTGTGGCTAAGGCATCTTCCATTTGATTCTCTTCTATGGGGAGGTAATTGAAAGTTACTTCTTCAAATTCTTCAACAAGTTCCATAACCAACTTACGATATTCTACAAGCTTGGGATCTTTTGTCTCCCATTCTCCCATGATCTGGTAAATTACCAAAGTTGAATCCCTATATACCTTGAGCATTTTTACTTTACGTTCAACAGCAGCTCTAAGACCTAGAACACAAGCTTCATACTCGGCCATATTGTTAGTACAATCAAAATTAAGCCGACTGGTGAAAGGATAATGCTCTCCCTCTTGGGAGACCAAAATTGCCCCGATTCCATGTCCCATGGCATTTGAAGCACCATCGAAGTTCAACTTCCAATATTTACTAGTGGACGCCACTGCTTCTTTCATCGAAATAGACATTAAATCCTCATCTGGGAAATCAAAGCTCAAAGACTCATATTCTTCCGAAGCCCTGCTTGCAATGAATTCCGCTATAGCACTTCCTTTAATTGCCGTCTGGTTTACATACTGGATGTCAAACTCGGTCAATAAGATCTGCCAACGAGCTAATCTTCCAGATAATGCAGGCACACCCATTAAATATTTCAAGAGATCAAACTTCGATATAAGCCAAGTAGTATGATACAACATATATTGCCTAAGCCTTCGGGTAGCCCATACTAAAGCGCAACACAACTTTTCAATGGGTGAGTATCTTGTCTCACATTCAGAGAACTTCTTACTGAGATAATAGATAGCCCTTTTTTTCTTCTCAGTTTGGTCACATTTCCCCAGCACATACCCCATTGAATTTTCATAAACTGACAAATACAAAATCAATGGTTTGCCTGGGATTGGTGGCGCCAAGATTGGAGTACTCGACAAATATCTTTTCACTGCTTCAACAGCTCTTTGACAATCCTCATTCCATTCCCCTGAGTTATTCTTGCGAAGAAGGCGGAATATGGGATCATACTTTTCAGTCAACTGCGAAATAAACCGAGCTATGTAATTCAATCTCCCCAAAAATCCTCTGACTTCTTTTTGTGTTCGTGGGGATGGTAAGTCTTGAATAGCTTTTAATTTATATGGGTCTATTTCAATTCCTTTTTGGCTCACTACGAATCCCAACAACTTCCCAGATGTCACCCCAAAAGTACATTTATTTGGGTTGAGTTTTAACTGACATCTTCTTAGTCTTTTAAAGATTTTTCTCAAATTCCCAATATGTTCTTCCTCTGTATTGGCTTTGACAATCATATCATCGACATAAACTTCTATCTCTTTATGCATCATGTCGTGAAATAATGTCACCATGGCCCTTTGATATGTTGCCCCGGCGTTCTTCAATCCAAACGGCATTACTTTATAACAAAACATTCCCCACATGGTAACGAACATCGTTTTTTCCATATCTTCAGGGTTCATCTTAATTTGATTGT